TTTTTTTTTTTTAACCTAACCACTGCAGGGTCTTAGGGACTCGCTCTCCAGGGAGGGGCGCTGCGGGTCTGTAGGGGTGGGGTTGATTGCGGGGCGGTTGCTTGGCAGAGTGTTATAGCCCCTGCAGTTTTCCCTGATTTAAGTGCTGCGGGGCTTTGACGTCTCTCATTCTCTCTCCCTTGCTCTGCAGCTGCATCTCTCAAGACATTTGGCATTCGCTTGGAAGAGGTTCTGGTGAATGAGCTTACCCGCCGCAAGCATCTTGAACTGACAGCTACCATGCAGGTTGAAGAAGCCACTGGTCAGGCTGTGGGCCGTCGTCGGGGAAACGTGGTGCAAAGGATGTTTGGACGCATCAGGCGCTTTTTCAGCCGCAGACGGAATGAGCCCACCTTGCCCAGGGAGTTCACTCGCCGTGGGCGTCGAGTGAGTTAAATCTTTCAGGTTTCAGGCAGGGACCTTTCCTAGGGTGTGCATTTTATGTCAGGTGGAGGGGTCAAGGTCTGTGTCCTTATGAGTTGGGGAGGGGCTTAACAGAAGTTGGGGGTGGTGGGCATGGCTTGCCACAGAGAGACTGTGTTACATACTGAATGTTCAGTGCTCAGGAAGGTCCTAGTCAATGCTGTTTCTCCCCCATTTTAAGGTAGTCTGGGTTTCTCCACAGGGTGCAGTGTCTGTAGATAGCCTGGCTGAGCTGGAGGATGGGGCCCTGCTGCTGCAGACCCTGCAACTCTCAAGGGTTTCATTTCCTATTGGCCAGCGACTTCTGGGATCCAAAAGGAAGATGAGCCTCAACCCCATTGCCCAACAAATCCCTCAGGTTGTTGAGGCTTGCTGCAAATTCATTGAGAAACATGGTAAGGGAGTCACAAATGGTTAAATCAAGGAAGGAGGCAACTAAAGGGAAAGGAAGAATGTTCCAGAAAAGGAGGGGGGTAGGGATAAGAAGCTGCTGGGTGAAGGGCTTGGGCAACATTCCCCTGACACCACTGGAGTTTGAGATCCAGCTCCTAAGGGAGGACAAGGGAAATGTCATGAGGCACTGGATCATACATGTTTAGGATCTCTGGTCTTATCTTTCAGGCTTAAGCTCAGTGGGGATTTTCACCATTGAGTACTCTGTGCAGAGAGTGCGTGAGGTAAACTGGCTATATTTACATGTTTGTTTCTTAGGTAAGAAAAAGAAGATGGAAATGGGGGCTCTCCCAAAAATGTGGGGGAAATGTCATGATTGATTGGGGGGGTACGGTCATCTTTCTAGACCATCAGCTATATCATATTGTCAGTATCTCCACTGAGGCCTGGGATTTACCAAAGAACTATCAAGAGGGATCATGTGGTGGTGTATCTTCCCTTCTAGCTCCGTGAAGAATTTGACAAAAATCTGGATGTGGTGCTGGATGACAATCAGAATGTACATGATGTGGCTGCACTCCTCAAGGAGTTTTTCCGTGAAATGAAGGACTCTCTGCTGCCTGATGATCTGTACATGTCCTTCCTGCTGACTGCAAGTGAGTCTTCTGTTCTCACTTGTTGGGGCAAGGAAAGGAAGTAATACAGAGATCTAGGGGCCTAATGACAGAGGTCAGGCTACAGATTTCCTGTGAATCTAAGGCCGAGTGAACAACAGAAGATAAAAAAAATATAAACATCTCCAGAATACACACATACATATTTGTGAATGAAAATAAAAAGTATAATAAAATCCTCTCCAGGTTCTTTTCTGTGTCTCTTGATGTTCCCATAAAAATCTGTTGCTTGGGAATTGTTCTAGAATTTCTGGAAGTTGTCTCTGCCCTCTTAGGACAAAGAAAAACCAAGGTTTTGTAGAAGTCTAGTTTTGATTGTGGGGTGGGGGAGGGCATGTCTTGCTTTAAGAGGTCCTGATCTCAGATGTTTTGGAAGGAAGCAAAGGCATGTTGTCTAGGTACTTCCTCCATAGTCATCAGCAATTCTGAAGCAGAAACTGCCTTGATAATCAGGCTGTTGCCAAGGCTAGCCCTCTGTGCCAGCTCCTGTCTTCCCTCCTCTAGCTCTGAAGCCCCAAGATCAGCTTTCTGCCCTGCAGTTGCTGGTGTACCTGATGCCACCCTGCCACAGTGACACCCTGGAGCGCCTGCTGAAGGCCCTGCATAAAATCACTGAATACTGCGAGGACTCCATTGGCATTGATGGACAGTTGGTAAAAATATGTGGCAAAGGGTACTGAAAACTTCTGTTGGGGACATGTGTGGTAGTATATGACCAAATAGGGTGATAAAGGGGTAAAGAGATAAAAATATTTTAAAATAATAAATATCTGTACAGCTTCTAGCACTACATCAAGGCTGATCAATCATATTCTATTCTTCTTTACCTAGGTTCCAGGTAACCGCATGACTTCCACCAACTTGGCCTTGGTGTTTGGATCTGCTCTCCTGAAGAAGGGAAAGTTTGCCAAGAGGGAATCCAGGAAAACCAAGCTGGGGATTGATCACTATGTTGCTTCTGTCAATGTGGTCCGTGCCATGATTGATAACTGGGATATCCTCTTTCAGGTAAGTGGGAATTTCGAATACACTTATTTCACATATTTCTCTTCTGTTCACAAGACAAGGGAGAAGTCTATGTGGATAACAAAATCAGATATCTACAAAGTCTCCTATTCTAGAAATTCTTTTCACATTAATTGCTTACGGTGCCTTCAATCCTGAGCACCTAATAAAGACAAGTATAAATGAAAATGTCAAGTGCAATAAAGGTTGCTACTTTTACTCTCAGGTCCCTCCCCATATTCAGAAGCAGGTTGCTAAGCGTGTGTGGAAGTCTAGTCCTGAAGCCCTGGATTTTATCAGACGCCGGAATTTGAGGAAGATCCAGTGAGTGGTTTTTCTTTTCTAACCATGGTTGTTCATGCTTAGCCTATGGGGGGCTAATGACTTTGGACCATGTTGGTTTTAATCAATTTGGGGGCAAACTGACTTACTTTTTTTCAAATCCCTTCTCTTTCAGGAGTGCTCGCATAAAGATGGAAGAGGATGCATTAGTTTCTGATCCAGTGGAAACCTCTGCTGAAGCCGAGGCTGCTGTCCTTGCCCAGAGCAAGCCTTTTGATGAAGGTCAGTTCCCTGTTGGAGATCATTTCCCTGCTGGAAGTCAGACCTTTGCTGAGGGCCAGGCTCTTCCTCAGGCCAGGTCCTTGCTGAAGATGAGCCAGAATCCTTTGAGGAAGATGTGTCAGTAAATGAAAAGCTAGTGTTTGAATATTTCAATCAAATAGTTTTGGGGGAAGTTCAAGGTTTTGAAATGCCAAATGACCTTAATATTCATGGCTCACATCTTGAGGGTATACCAGAACTTGATGAAGAAGATGATGGTGAGGATGATGATGATGGTGGTGAGAATGATGATGATGGTGATGATGATGACACCCTAAATTTTGATGATCTTCCTCCTCTTGAGGATGTTCTAGAACTTGATGATGAGATTCCAGAACTCATTGAGATCCCAAACTTTCAAGAATTACCTTATTTTGATGTGGTTCCAGACCCTGAAGGAGTCCCAGATGTGCATGAAATCTTGATTCCTGGAGAAAACCTGAACCATGACTTTGAAGAAGGACCAGATTTTGAAGACAACCAGAATTTGGATATCGCAGAGGTTCCATATCTTGATGTAATCCCCAACAATGAAGAAGCCGACTCAGATGCTGACGATATCCCAGGTAATGACGACGCCCCAGACACTAATGAAATCCCAGATAATGTAAATGCCCCCAATAATGATGAATTCCAAGATTCTGAAGAAGTCGCCAATCTCGAAGAGATCCCGGCTGTTGATGAAGTCCCAAATGATGAAGCCTCAAATGATGAAGAGATCCCAGACCATGATGAATATCCAGAGGTTAATGGGATCTCAGACTCTGAAGAAGATACTGATTTTGAAGAAGTCCCAGCTCTTCATGTGGTCCCAAGTCCCGAAGAAGCCCCTGCAGGACATGAAATCCCAAATCATGAAGAATCCCCAGAGGTTAACGGAATCTCAGACTCTGAAGAGGATCCAAATATTGAAGAGGTCCCAGATTTTGATGGCATCCCAAATGATGAAGAAACCTCAGATGCTGAAGAAGTCCCAGATCATGATGTAGCTCCAGAAGTCAATGGAATTTTGTACTTGGAAGATGCTCCTAACTCTGAAGAGGTTCCAGCTCTCCATGTGGTCACAGGGTCTGAAGATATCTCTGATTCTGGTGAAATTCAAGAACAGGAGGAATCTTCAGATGAGAGTGGAGCCCCAAGTAATGAAGAAACTTCAGAGAGTGAAGAAATACAAGGGTATGAAGACACCTCTGATGTGAGTGGAAACCAAGACTCTGAAAAAACTTCTGATCTTTCAGTACTTGAACCTCAAATTCACAATGAAATTACAGATTGGAAGAAAGAGCAAGTGGATGACTTTGATGAAGATGTAGTTAATACTGTGGCTTCAGAGACTGAAGATTTCTCCATCGTGAGTACTATCTCAGATCCTCCACAAGACCTGGCTGTCAATTTTGAAGAAGCCGTGAATGTGAAAGAAGTCCCTGTGCCAGATGTCAACTCTAAAGAAGTTCAGAATCCAAAGACAATTCAGTTCCGTAAAGACAATGTAGATGTTACATTCCCTATAGGTATCACTCTGCTTAAAAATAAGTCTCAGCCCAGCCAAGTCATGGGCTGCAAGTCCTTCCAAGAGCTATTGAAGAATCACACCTGCTTTCTGCCCTCCATGCAGTGTTGTAAGCTTCCAGCTCCAGCTTTGTTACTCATTTGTTTGGTAAAGTTCATCAGGCTTCTCATAGGGTGGTGGTTGTTTTTAAGAGTTCACCCTTTTCCCCTTATTGCTGGTGATATGGTCCATTTGCTTTGAGCATAGGGTGTCTACTTTACTCTTTCTGTTCCCTAATCCAGCCTTACTTCAGCTTTCACAATGGTCTTAGAATTTGAAATCTGTGTTTCACCATTAGGCTGCAGTTTTCTTACATATAAAATCAGAGTAATCTTCCTGCTCTGTCTTCATGCCTCATACTGTATTTGAAATTCAAAACTAGGTCTTAGTGCCTTGGGTGCTGTGCAAAGTATAAAAGTCTAGAAACATAAGAAATTAACATTGTTACTATTTTCCAGGTTCCTCTGAGGAGCCCGCTGTGCCTCGCGGCACTGCCCGTTCCCATGACGATGAGGAAGGAGCGGGTAATCCCCCCATTCCGGAGCAAGACCGCCCATTGCTCCGTGTGCCCCGGGAGAAGGAGGGCAAAACTGGCATCGGCTACTTCTTTCCTTAGATGTATTTCCCTTCTATAAAGTGCCAGACAGGGGAAAAGGGTGGGGGTAGACCTGGGATGTCACAGCAAACATTAAGGAGAGTCTTGAAGACAAAGATTTAAGGGTAAGAAGGAGTTCCACCTGATGCTCGGGTCAGGATGGGAATTCCAAGTACACTGCCAACCCCACCACTGGGGATGCTTGGTCTCTGTAGCTGGCAAAAGCAGAGATGTTTCTGTGTCACGCCCAGGCTCCCTGGTGCTACCTTGCCTTCTCTTTTACCCCTGATCCTGGCTTTCTCTCACTACAGCCCTTCCTTTAATTGATGTTACATTTGTGGTGAACGCCTGTCCCAGAGAAGCTCACAAATCTCGAGGTGCTTTCCCTCCCCCAAAGGGGATTGCATGTTTTTCCTTACTTTCCTACCCTCCTCCCGAGAGCTCAATTGGAAAGGCCCTCAAGAGGCATGCTAGAACGTTAGGTCAGCCTATGGACTGCTGACAAACAATTAATGCTAAACCATGTCACACCAACTCATAGCCGTGTCCCCGCAGCAACTCCACCGCCTCAGGATTTTTTTTTTTCTTTTCCAAATTATTTAGACCAATGGCTCATCAAACAGCCACCCCCCCCACCTCCAAATTCTGTGCAGTTTTGCTCAGGTCAGGCCAACAGGGAAACCTCAAGTGTGAGCCTAACTAGATTTCCTGGGGTCAAAAGTTAGAGGAAAAATTAGATTTTAGTACCTGGATCTGTTTTACAGACAGCCGGTGTTCCCACGCCGTTGTCAGCAAAACAACTAGTTAGGTACAGACACATAGTTCCAAGTAGTTAAATACACCTGATTACAAACATTTTTATCTATCGTCTCTGTAGTTCCTCTATGCAGGACGGTAAAAATATGCGGGACATGCTCTGGTAACACTGATATGGGTTATGTATGACATCCAAATTTAACTGATATTTATGGGTAACAACGGCTAAGGTCCATAGAGTGAAGAATGTATTGTATTGAGGGATAGACATTGATCATACAATGGGTAATAACCGCAGAGCTCGAAGATTTGTGATTGTTAAAACTTCTCTGGCATTTAACCATTAATAAACATCTGTGTTGTGACAGCAGCATATTCATGGCTTATGGTGTATTTTTTGCTTCTTTGAGTTTTGAGGATGAATTGGGAATCTCTGAGTGGAGAGCTGAAGGGGAAAAGAGGGTAGGGAAGAGGAATAAAGGAGAGAAAGTGCTATGAAATGAAAAGGAGGCGATGGAATGAGATAACAAGGAGAACGGATGTGAAATAAAAAGAAAGGATGAAATGGGATAAAGAGAAGAAGAAGATAGAGAAGAGAAGATTATATGAAATAGGGGGGTGAACTGATGTGGAATAAAGAGGAGGGATGATGGAATAAAGGGGAGAGATGATGGAGGATAAAGATTAGGGGATATTATGGGATAAAGAGGAGAGGTGATGGGGAATGAAAACAGGATGCCATGCAACAAGAGGGAGGAGGGATGATGGTGGATCAAGAGTAGGGGATGGCATGGGATAAGGGGGAGGGGTGATGTGGAATAAAGAAAAGGGGATGACATAGGACAAAGGGAAAGGGTAATCAGGATTAAGGAGGGGATGACATGGGCTAAAGGGGAAAATCTAGGGTGGATAAAGAGGAGGGGCCATTGCAGGATATGAGGAGGGGTGATAGGGAATAAAGAGGAAGTGCTGACATGGAGTAAAGGGGGGACATGATGGTGAATAAAAGAAGGGTATGATATGGGATAAAGAAGAGGAATGATGGGAAATAAACAGCAGGGGATGACATGAGACCAAGGGGAGGGGCGATGGGCAATAAGGAGGAGATGCCATGAGATAAGTAGGAAGGACAATGAGGAATAAAGAGGAAGAGGTGGCATGAAATAAAGGGGAGGATGATGGAGAATAAATAGGGGGAGATGACACGGGATAAGTGGGTGGGATGATGCGTAATAGAGAAGAGGTGGTGAAATGGCATAAGAGGGGAGGATTATGGATAATCACGAGGAGGAAATAGCATAGATTAATAGAAAGGATGATTTAGAAAAGGAGGTGGGAATAATATGAAACGAGAGGGAAGGATCATGTGAAATAAGAGGAAGGGATGGCATGGTCTAAAGCAGAGAGATGATAGCAAATAAAGAAGAGGCAATATTATGGGATAAGGATGAGCGGTGACAGGGACTAAAGAGAAGGGGATGATATGGGACAAGGGGAGTGGTGGTATAAAATAAGGAGAGGATGCATGGGATAAAGGGGAGAGGTGGTGGTGGATGAAGAGGAGGGCATGTCATTGGCTGGAGGGGAGGGGTGAAAGAATAAAGGAGAAGGAATGATATGAAATAAGAGGAAATAATGATGGACAATTAAGAGGGGATGCCAATGAAATAAGGAGGAAGACAATGAGGAATAAAGATGAAGAGGTGACATGAAATAAAGGGGAAAGATGATGGAGAGTAAATAGGAGGAGATAACATTGGATAAGTGGGAGGGATGATGGGCAATAGAGAATAGGGGATGAAATGGTATAAGAGGGAAGGATGATGGGGAACCAAGAGGAGGAAGTGGCATAGATTAATAGGAAGAATGATGAAGAATAAAGAGGAGGAGATAATATGAAATAAGGGGGAAGGATCATGTAAAATACAGAGAAAGGATATATGGGATATATGGGAGAGATGATGGTGGATAAGGAGGAGAGAATGGCATGGGATAAGGTGGAGAGGTAATGGAGAATAAAGAGGAAAGGATGACATGAGATGAAGACTTATATGGAATAAGGGGGAGGAGATGATATGGAATAAGAAAGAGGGATGATGGGGAATAATGAGGAGGATATGACATGGGATAAGGGGGAAAGATGATGGTGGGCAAAGCAGAAATGACATGGGATAAGGGAGAAAATGATGGGGAATAAAGAAGAGGGGATTATGTAGATTAAGAGGAAAGATGGCATGGAATAAAGAGAAGGGATTACATGAAATAAGCAGAAAAGATCATGTGGAATAAAGAGGAAGGAGTGACATAGGATAAATTGGAGAGGTGCTGGTAGATAAAGATGAGGAGATGACATGGAATAACAGAGAAAGTTGATGAAGAATAAAGATAAGGGGATCATATGAACTAAGGGGAAGAATGATGGGGAACAAAGAGGGGGGTGATGTAGAATAAAGAGAGGATGATATGGGATAAAAGGGAAGTGTAACAATAAAGAGACAGGATTGCTGTGGGACAAAGGAGAAGGGGTAACAAGGAGATAACAATGGATTAAGGAGAGGGGTGGTGTGGGAAAAGCAAAAGGGAAGGACATGGAGGGAGGAGGACAATTTGTATATAATAATTGGGAGAAACACGTGGGATAGAGTGATTTGGAATTAAACAGAGGAAAATCATATAAAATAAAGGGTAATAATGACAGAACAACAGGAATGGGGTGAAGTGAAATAATGGGGATTAAAATGGAAAAAAAGGTTAATTGCTATAATTGAATGAAGAGGATTGAAGAGTTAAAGCAAGATAAATTGTTCAAGAATGATGAAAAGGAAATAAGGGCCAGGAAGAAATCTAATTGGAGCACCTATAATTTGGAAGGAGGGGGAATAAATGGGGAAACCACTAGACTTTGTCAACTGAGAAATTCTTCTTGAATTGTTGAAAAATAAAAACCTAGAAAGAGTTGGAGACATAGGACTTCTAATGATAAGAGGAATGACAAACTACTGTTTAACTAATGGCACCACCAACCCTTGTTGAAAGCTCATGGTATCACATGACACACTAGGAAATTTCCCATGTCAAAGGCTCAGCAAGTGGAATGAAGAGTGTTATTTTTACACATTCAGCTATGGAATACTTTTTGTCTAACATTTACAGACAGCAGACATGTAGTACAGGGTTCCTCCTATAATAATAATTTTATAATAATTGCAATGATAGTTAACACATATGGAATTATTCCAAAGTGCCTAGTATCATTAAAAGTTTTACATACCTCATTTAATTTAATATTCACAATAACTCTGAGATATATGCTACTGCTATCTTCATTTTATTCTTCACAAAGCTTGAAATATAGATAAGTTAAATAACCTGCTCAATTACACAGCTTGTTAGTGAACAAGTAGACATTCTTCAAAGCTGGATTTTTAAAATATTAGATTCTGTTGGTCCACCATCTTAGAATTCTGCCTCACGAAGACACTTTGTACCACCTGGAGTCATTTGGCGGGGGGAGTGCTTACTTTCAGCAAGTAAGCTTCAGTTTTCTTTGAAATAAGTTTTTGCTTTCCACGTGGTACAAGCTACGATATATCCGGCTGATCATGGCAGTTGTACCTGGTTCTACAGATATGGAGCTCATATACTTCAACTTCCCTGCTGTGATAAGGATTATACTAGCATTCAGACTTACCCAAGGTCAGATATCTGGAGATACGATTCAGATGGGCTTTTTGACTGGAATTCCACAACTTCATGTGGTAAAAATGGTAATATGAGACTTACATTGCATCCCCCCCCCGTTCAAATGAAGAAAAAACAACAAACAAGACAGATAATTAATAGAAAAGGAAATTGTTTCAAAACAATCTTTTCAAGTTCTGGCTTTCCTGAAACCAAGTTTTGTCCTGATGTTCCTTCCTCATGCAGATCACTGACCAAGAAACGGGCTGAGTTGGCATAAAGGCAGACATTTTTCTAAATCTTCTCCTTACTATGAAGATCAGATCATATACTTCCTTGGCACTCCAACTCTTGTTCTCAGACTGAGTGACAGAGCAGACCTATACACTCTGGCTGCACAGTTTCTCAGCATGTCAACATCCCCGTCAGTTGGCATCTCTAGGAATGGCTTCACTGCTGAAAGTCTCTCAGTTTCCATATCCCACTGAGACCCATGTCTCCCAGCAATGCCTGGGTTTCTGACATTTGCTCTTGGTCTACAGTGATGGGTCCAGAGGTTCAGTATTTCAAGCTCTTTTCCTATCCAACCAGGATCTTGGGGGGCATTTGAATTTAGCAATGGCTACATCTTCATCCCATGTTCCTCCAAATACCATATTTGTACTATTTAGCCTCAACTTTAGTTTCCTCCAAACATGCCAGTCCAATCATGAGTGTTGTGGGAGAAAGAAGCAGCATTTCAAATACTGGAATCTCTATCAGTCAGAACTTCCAACCTCAGCTTGGCCCTGAGGTCACACAGCAATCCATCACACGACCTAGTCTTCACTTTCTCCTTTTCCTTCCCCATTTAAAGTCTAAGTTTTATCACCACTATCCCCATAGAAGAGTCCCTTTCAATGAATGCTAACCCCATTCTATACAGTGACATAAACTCTTATTTCCTAAAGGAAATTGAGGCCACTTGAACTCTTTTTCCTGAGGACTACAAATCCCTATTCTAGCTCTATTATTGCTCTACTGTCCTCCCATTTTCCTCCCTACTCTCCCATAACCTTGCTCACAATATTATCAACTCACTTATGTGAATCTTTCCTTATCACAAGGCATTCATGTGACCAGGCATCTCCCATCTGCAGTAACTGCTCTGTATCACTCTGTACCAAGTCCCATATCTCTATTAAGCTGGATGAGAGGATTTATTCAGTATTTTTCTTAATTCCCATTATCTTTCAAAATGTACTCGTCAAACTTCTGTTCCCATAACATCAATAAAATAATTGTGGGAGAAGTGACCACTAAAAGCCTATTATTTTATTCAATAAAATCTTCACTTTTTTTCTCAATGTATATTTTTATAGAATTTTTGTGCATTTCAGATAATACATAGTAATCATATTTAGAATTCCCTCATTGGACTTTATGCATTCTTTCATGTATGTTAAGGCCTATGGAGTCAAGTTTGTGTGTCCAGATGTCCCTCTGTGTGAGTGCTGGGCATGGTGGTACATACCTTTAATCCCAGCACTCAGGAGGCAGAGGAGGGTGGATGTCTGTGAGATTGAGGCGAGACTGGTCTACAGATTGAGTTCCAGGTCATCTGGGGCCACAGAGAGACCTGTCTCAAAAACAGAACAAAACCAAAAAACAACAAAAAAGAAATTAAAAATAAAATAACAAATGCAGATAGAT